CAGGCCCTCCAGCACACTCTGGCGACAGCGATGGTACAGGTCCTCACTGAGCCGTGCGCTGCACGTCTGGGCCCGGTAGTGCTGCAGCAGCGCCGGCTCCACCGCCCGCAGCACATGCAGGCTGGAGAAGCGGAGGAACAGCTCGTACACGTCCATGCTCTCCAGGAGCTCCTCCTCCTGCTCCGAGGCCGCTGCCAGCTGCCCTCGGGCGGCCACATAGTCAGAGTTATAGAAGCAGGCCTCACTGGCCGCCTGGCGGTCAAAGTGGCCCGTGTCTCGGCCCAGCTCCGGGGGTCCCGGGCCCTGTGGGGGGGCCACGGCTGGGTGGAAGGCCTGGAAGTGCATGGGGAAGAAGGCCTGCCAGCCAGAGATGGCGTGCATGCGGCAGCGGTTCAGGAAGTCAGGTGTGAGCACCGTGTCCGGCCCAGCCAGCAGGAATAGTGTGTCCAACGGGTGCTTCTTGGAGAGCAGATCCATGAGGCGCAGTGGTGAGGGGGCGGCTGTCTGCACACTGAGCCACGGTACCCGGGCGCCGGGGAAACGCTGCTCTAGCTCTGCCACGTGGGCCTTGACAGGTGCGAAGACATCTGCATGGGCTGCCCGCTGGGCCTGTCGTGGCTCATATAGCAGCAGCAGGGTCAAAGCGGCTGCAGCATCGCCAGGCTCCAGAGCTGCTGTGGCGAAGGCCTCCAGGAAGCCAGGGGCCAGGTCACGCTCCGCCGCGGCCAGAGGCAGTAACACAGTGAGACGTGAGGCCTCAGTGACGTAGGGCACAGGCAAAATCTCCACGCGGCTCAGTGGCCGTAGCAGCTGCACCCGGTGAGTGAGGGGCCGGCGGCCACCCTGGGGGGTCAGCGCCTCCAGCTGCAAGTCCAGTGTGTACTCCATACCCCGAGCAGGATCAAAGCGACGGTAGCCATTAATCAGCTGCTGCTTCTGGAGCTGCAGGACTGGGTGGTAGCGGCGGTTGAGCTCCTCCAAGGCTGCCCCCAGGACATCGGCCACATCGGCCTGATCAGCCCCACGCAGAGGGCAGCGGGGCGAGCCATCGGCACAGGAGAAAGCATGCTGCTCAGTGAAATAGTCCCAGCGCAGCACCTCAAAGCGGGAGGCTGGGCGGGATGGTGCCGGAATGCCCACGGGCCAGGCGGCTGCTCGCTCCCCATCAGCTGCCAGACGGCTGGTGTTCTGGATCTCCCACTGGGTTAGAGAAACAGACTGTGAGCAAGGCAGAGACCCCAGGGGCCAGCTGGGGGACTGGGCAGACGGCAGGTGCCACTCAGGATGGGTCCTGTCCCCTGCCAACGTCTGCCTTCCAATGCCCCTACTTATCCTTTCCCCAGACGGAGGCAGCCTGAGAGCCAAAAGGGGGGTTTCTGGAGGGGCTTCTCAGAATAGACAGAAAGAAACAGGGATAGGAGGCAGATGTGTTCTGATTCTAGTGCTCATAGTTTATTTCCCTGGGATCTTGAAGACCTCACAGGACCTGCCACCCTACCCCCGGCCCAGGTCATACCTGCAATTCCTGGATCTCCTGGTATGTGCGTTCCAGCTCAGCTCGGGCAAAAGCCTTGTGCAGCTGGTACATGTGCACAGGGTCACGCACAGGGTAGGCGGTCAGGGCGCTGCGGAAACGAGGGTCCCCCTCCTGCACAGACTCCCCAGGACTCAGCTCCAGGTAGCTATAATGCACTCCCTGGGGAGAGAAAGAGTAGGGGTCCATAAAGGGAAGAATGATGGAACAGCCTCTACCCCTCACCTCCTAGTGTGTGTCTCATTTCCCCACCCTATGACCTGTTGTGGACTTGCAATCAGAATTGTGGTTTTAAGTACCTTAGCTGGTTGTCAGCTTGTGTGTGACCTTGGTCAAGCCTCTGCTAGTTCATCTAGGAAATGGGTATGCGTCCTATCTCAGGCTCAAATAAAATAATAATTGCCAATACGGAACACCTACTATGTGCAAAGCTCTCTTATTTTTTTTCTAATCCTTATAACAACTCTGAGCAATAATTGTTTCCATTGGTATGGATGAGGATACTGCCACTCAGGAGATTCAGTAATTTGCCCAAGGTCATAGGGATAGAAATGGGCAAAACTGGCATGGAAATCCAGGCCTGTATCTCCAACCACCCCTTTGCCTCTCAGGGGAAGTACACAAGCTCAGATAGGAGGCACCAGTGGGGCGGCTTATCTTCTCACCTCGTGGTCACCAGTGCAGCCCACCCCTGTGGCATCGAGGATGCAGCGCCCCAGCCACTCATCTGGACGCGCACTGACGATGTCGTTACGGCAGCCTTCCAGATGGGGGCGCAGCTGCTGCAGCAGGGTGCGGGACAACAGTACCCCAAAGCCTCCATGGCAGTAGCGGCCTGGGGCAGGCTCTCCACCGATGAAGTCCTGGGGCCGGCCCAGATAGAGGTGGGCAGCAGCTGCCAGGCTGAGGTGGCCAGCTAGGCGCACCAGTCCGTGGGCCTCGGTGTAGGTGGTATCAGGTACTAGGAAGAACCAGTCAAAGTCGTTGCCGTGCTGCTCCAGCAGGTGGCGAAGTGCCAGGTGTAGGTGGCCAATAGGCCTCTCCTCGCCCAATGTCACCACAGCCATGCCTGGTGGTGCCCTACGGCCCCGAGAGCCTGTCAGGAACACCACACGCTCTAGCCGGTGCCCCAGTGTGCGGTTCATGGCCACACCCATAGTGGACAACGTGGCCTGTGAGGTCAGCACTGCCACCAGCAGCTTCTGCCTGATGCCCAGCTCCGTGCTGATGTAGCGGGTCCTAGGGGAGAAGGCACAAGATTATCAAAAAGACAAGGAGGCCCTGGCCAGTGTGGCTCAGTGGATGAAGCGTCCGTCTGCAGACTGAAGGGTACCGGGTTCGATTCCAGTCAATGGCACATGCCTGGATTGTGGGCTTGATCCCCATTAGAGGGCTTGCAGGAGGTAGCCAATCAAAGATTCTCTCTCATCACTGATGTTTCTATCTCTCTTTCCCTCTCCCTTCCCCTGTGAAATCAATAAAAGTAAAAAAAAAAATAATAATAAAAAAGACAATGGGGCCCTGGCCAATGTGGGTCAGTTGTTGGAGCGTCGTCCCTACACCAAAAGGCAGTAAGTTTGATTCCCAATTAGGGCACATAGTCAGGTGGTGGACTCCATCCCCAGTCAGGGCGCATGTAGGAGGTAAACTGGTTGACGTTTCTCTCTCTCCCTCTCTTTTCCCTTCCCTCCCTCCCTTCCTCTCTCGAAGATCAATATTTTAAAAACATTTAAGGAAGACAGGAGGCAGCATACATAGGCTTCCGCAGGCCATGTCCTCTCTGGGCCTGTCTCCTCACCTACGAATAGGATGAGAATAACATGTCTCTCCCAGGTGTCATGTGAATTTAAGTAAAATGTTAGTCTTGCCTACATAGTGCTTTTGGGAGATGGTACTACTATCCATGCAGATATGAGAGATATATTGTGGGTCTGATTCCCTGTTTCACTACTTAGTAGTTGTGCCCTTGAGCAAGTTATTTAGCGTATCTGAGCCTCAGTAGCCACATCTGAAAAATGGGGTTGACTGTATCTACTTAAAGCACTTAGGCAAATGCTTGACCCATAGGTACTCTACACATCGTGTGCACAGTACTTATTTCTATATAAATACGCCATTATACCACAAACACAGCACAGAAATGATGTAATGGAATATATGGCTTAGGGGTGTATTGAGTGTGTTTGGGGGAAGGGCAAGTTGGAGCTCAGGAGTTCCAGTAACTGGCCTTCCATAACACAGACCGTAAGTTGCAGAACTGGAATTTGAACTCAGGGTTGCCTAGGAGAATGACTTCAACTCCTGGGGAGGCATTAGTGGGATGGCTACATCATTTCTCTCCCACAAACCTCATCACGAGGTGTCCCACCCAGGAACAAGAGATACAGGTAAATCCTAGTTTTATCCTTTTTCTTTCCCTCTCTCTCTATAAATGCATTTTCATACCAATCATTTCTCTAAAACCAACAGCCAGCCAGGGAGCTCAGAGGAGATTTGGGTGACCAGGGAGTGGAGCCGGTTTAGCACAGCGCCTACCGGGTAGGTTCGGCCCAGAGAGGGCCTCACACGGCTCCACGGCCGGGGAAGCAGGGCCATCGGAAGTTATCCGGCCCAAAGACTTCCTGGCCGGCCAGGCTCTTCCTTCCGGAGCCTGACCCGGCCCCGGCGGCGTCCCGGGAGAGCCTGTCCCGGCCGGTGCCCAGGGGTGGAGCTGGCGGGGCTGCTCCCTACCTGACGGCCTTTTTGGCGGCCTGGCCCGGCTGTGCGGGGTGGTAGGGCAAGACGCGCGGCTCCCAGTCCTCCCCGGCGCCGGCGCCCGGCCTCTCGCGCTCCGCTCCGTGCTGCACCGAGTTGGGTCGGCGCGCCGCGTTGGTGTTGCCCCGCGGCGGCAGCTCAGAGTCCCCGGGTTGGGGCGGCCCCGGGCCGCACGGCTCCTCCACCCAGGTGACGCTGAGCAGGCTCAGCGTGAAGCCCAGGGAGATGCCCACGGCCACGGGCCCTGCGGGCCGCAGCACCGACAGCAGCAGCGATGCCCGCATGGCGCCCGGACCGCGGGCCCCAGCCCGGGAGCAGCCCCAGAGCAGCCGGAGGAGGCTCCGAGGGGGCGGGACCGGGGAGGGGGCGGATCCGGAGGCCCCGGGCCAAACGGCTGGCCCGCTCCCACCCCGCCGAGCAGAGCTGGCGGCCGAGCCGAAGCCACCGGCGCCGCGCTCCAATCCCGCTCCGGCCGCCGTTCAGGATCGCGCAGGGTCTCGGCTTTCGGTACGGAAGCCGCCGCCGCCGCCGCCGCCGCTGTCCGACGTGTCACTGCGAGGGCTCCGCCCCCGGGGTGGGGTCTCGGGCTCCGGCTACCGGAGAGGGAGGAGAAGGGGGAGGTGAAAGGGGAAGGACCCCCGGAAGTGCCCCCTCCTCAGTGAGCGAGAGGGAGACGCCGGGGGCGGAGCCCCCTACCTCCCCCGGCGTGGTTGGTGCGTCCCGGATGACGTCAGAGGCAGCCCGCCCCGGCCCGAATGATGCGCCCACGTGACGTCAGGAGCCGAGGCCGGAGCTGTCCATCAGCACCAAAGGCCGCGGGCGGGCTCGGGGCATGGGGCCGCGGCTCTGGGGCGGCCCGAGCCCTGCTCCTGCTCCTGCTCCTTTCCCTTCCCCAGGCCCAGCCCGAGGCCCCGGACGCCGCGGGACTGGCGTGCCAGCCGGTGCTGGAGGCGGAGAGGCGCCGCCGCGCAGAGACAGGTTCCTCCGGCCCAGCAGCTCCCTTCCCCGCACGACGGACTTTTCCTGGACCCCAGGCAGCTGGGGCCTCTGGCGCCCAGCACCTCTGGACCCTCTGGCCTCTGCACAGCCTCTTTCATTCAAAAGCTCAGGTCGCTTCCAGCCCAGGTAGATTTTGGACAATCCCAGATTTAGCCGCCCACAGACGAGTCTCCTGGCTGCCTCCTCACTGGCAGCACACTGCCCTCATCTCCCCCGAACCAGTTCCCCTTTTGACTTCTTCATTCTGGCCCCCTCGAGCCAGACACTTTTGTTCCCTTTGTCTTTTGTCCCCCAATTAGCGATGCTTCTGGAGCTGCCTGATGTGGGCACCACTCCTTTGTCCAGCGTGTCCTTGCCTAGGTCTCCCACTCCCATTCTTGCCCCATCCTGGTGGAGACCCAGGACTCCTCCTTGACTCCAGCTTCCTCTCTGTCAGGCTGACCTGGGAGGGTGACTCCCTTTCGTTCCTAGCACTATGCCAGGCACTGTGGCGACACTGCGGTTCCAGCTCCTGCCCCCTGAACCAGATGATGCCTTCTGGGGTGCACCCTGTGAACAGCCCCTGGAGCGCAGGTACCAGGCACTGCCGGCCCTCGTCTGCATCATGTGCTGTCTGTTTGGAGTCGTCTACTGCTTCTTCGGTGAGACCCCCAATTCATCCCTCACCTCGGCTCCCCATTCTCTCCCTATTTTCCTGATGCACTCCAAATCTCCTCCAGAACTTCACCACCACCCCCACCACCGCCACCAAAATTAGCATGAATAACTCCCTTTCCTTACTTTCTTTCATACCACATGTTCCTATATCATCTAGACCAGTGGTCACCAACCTGTGGTCCGTGAGGTCCGAAAGGTTGGCAACAGCTGATCTAGATCCTAGAAAACACAAATTTTTTGAATTAGGCATGCTTCAATTTGAACCTGGCTTTGTACCTTACTAATTGTGATGCTTTGGGCATATTAACTTGCCTTAGCTCAGTTTTATCATCTGAACAGTGGAAATAATATGTTTTAATTGATTTTATGATATTTACCTCACATAGAGTTGTTGTGAGAATTAGTAGGGACTCAATAAATAATAGCTATTGTGGTGAAGATGTGTTTGGGTCACTGTTCTAGCTAGACACTGAAAACAGTTAGCAGGGTGATTAAGCATGGTCCCTTCACACAGAGTATAATGGGGGAGAGACTTCTGGAATATTCACACCTTGATACATGTTATAGTTTACCCTTGAATAACACGAGGGTTTGGGTGCAGTTGAAAACCTACATATAACCTAAGTGGGTTCTCAGTATGCACAGATTCCCAACCATAGATCCAAAATACTGTTTTCAGTCTGCAGTCAGTTGAATCTGTGCATGTAAAACCTGAGGATATGGAGGGCTGACTGTATATTTATTGAAAATATTAATGTATAAGTGGACCTGTGAAGTTCAAACTTGTGTTGTTCAAAGGTCAACTGTAGAGTAGGCTAGATAGTAATCATACACATGAAGATCGCCTACAATAATCAGGCTCCAATAATCAGGGTGGCTGTGAACAGTTGTGCAGGATGCCTACTATACAAGTGAGTTGAGTTCATATGCAAGTGGGGCCTAAAACCCAGCTCATGCTCCACTTGCCAAACTCTAGGCCTTGGCACAAGGCTGCTTTGCCTAGAGGAAGGCGTACATTTTTCTTCCTCTTTTGTTGTTGTTTTTAATATGTTTTATTGACTTTAGAGAGAGAGGAAGGGAGAGGGGAGAGAGAAAAACATTGATGTGAGAGAGAAACATTGATCAGTTGCCTCCCACATGCATCCCAAACAGGGATTGAACCCGCCACCTGGGCATGTCCCCTTACCAGGAATCAAACCAGCAATATTTTGATGCATGGGACACTCAACCAACTAAGCCACACTGGCCTGGGTGGCACACCTTTTTCTAATTTGCACAAAGGTGCCAGATAGACTAGTGGAGTAAGTGCCCAGTGACTCTACAGCTAGAGTTGCAGAACTTCAGAGAGGGGAGCAATCTCTATTGGTTGGAGGCCCAAGGAAAGCCTCCAAGAGAAGCATTATCAGTGACTGAAAGAAGTGTAAAGGAAGCTTGGAGGTCTGGGTTCTAGGCTTGGCAGAAGGTGGGGTGAAACTTGTGCTCTGATGCCTCTACACCTCCCCCCTAGCTTGGCTGGGTAGTAGGCAGGAATGGGAGCCAGATGGTCCTTTTCTTTCCACCCCCAAACTCTTGGCTGAACAATTGTAGAGTGGGCAGGAGGCAGTGCCCCTCTATGGGTTCAGGATACATTTGGGCCTCCAAGGAGTCTGTGTTACCTCACTCCTTCCCCTACCCAAATCCATACCCATACCCAATCCCTCTGCAGTTGCTCAATACACCCTGACATTCCCTCTCCTGTGCTTTCCTGCCACCTTACCCCTCTTGGATGCCCCCACTCGCAGGCTCTTGGACTCTGAACCTTGTGTATGCCCTGCTCCTCTTTCTGACTCCAGAACCTCCTGGATTCTAAAGCTCCCCTTCATTCCCAGAATTGAATCTTCTCTTTGACCTTTCTTGTTGGCTCTCCCTGACCCCTTCACCCCCATCTTCCCAACTGTTCAGGATCAGCAAGTCCCTCACTCTTCCGGTTACCCTTAATGGACCCAAATGGCCCTATAACCTTCATTTTCCTGGAACTCCACAACCACTATTTCATCCTATAATTTTCTTTGAGTCCCTATGACCCCTTGTAAGCCCTAGTGACCCTCCTCCAGCTATCTCATCACCTTTTATCCCTCTGACTCCATTCCCCTAACTATTGCTAGGAACTCATTGCCTGATTGCTCCTCCTCCCACCAAGATCTCAATAATCCCATTTCTCTGGCCTCAACATTACCCTCTCTCTGAAACCCAATGATTCCATGTCTATCAATCCCCCTGACCTGCAGAGGCCTCATCTCCTGGAACCAGTCCCTAATAACCCTGCTTCCCTTTTCTCTTTATAACCTTTTAATGATGCCATATCTCTGAAGCCTTGTGACCCCTGCAAGACCTCATCTCTCAAATTCTTTCTGACTTCCAAATACCTCATCTCTCTGAACAATCCCCCCTCATAGACCCCAATGACTCTATTGCTGATCCCCTTGTGACCCAGTGACCTATTTCTCTGACCCCCATGACTCCAACGACCCCAATGTCCCTATCACTGATGCACTCGAGTCCAATGACCTATCTCTGACTCCTCTAACCCTCAAAGACCAAATGTTCATCTCAATGTCTGTCTCTCTGTTTTCCAAGTGACTCCTAGTGACCTATCTCTCTGACCTCCCTTGACCCTAGTGACCCCATCACTGGTGCCCGCAGGACCCCAATGACCCCCAATTTTCTTACCTTAGTATCCTGCCTCGGGTTCCCCTGAGATTTGACGTTCTGACCCCTCTACCCCTTGCCTGCAGCCGGGTGACCTCACGTTGGCCCCTCACTGGCGCCTGTTCCCCTCCAGGTTACCGCTGCTTCAAGGCAGTGCTCTTCCTCACTGGGTTGCTGTTTGGCTCGGTGGTCATCTTCCTGCTGTGCTACCGGGAGCGGGTGCTGGAGACACAGCTGAGTGCCGGGGCGAGTGCGGGCATCGCACTGGGCATCGGGCTGCTGTGCGGGCTGGTGGCCATGCTGGTGCGCAGCGTGGGCCTCTTCCTGGTGGGGCTGCTGCTCGGTCTGCTGCTCGCTGCTGCCGCCCTGCTGGGTTCCACCCCCTACTACCAGCCGGGTTCCGTGTGGAGCCCTTTGGGGCTGCTGCTGGGGGGCGGCCTGCTCTGCGCGCTGCTCACGCTGCGCTGGCCTCGCCCGCTCACCACTCTGGCCACCGCTGTGACTGGTGCTGCGCTCATCGCCACTGCCGCTGACTACTTTGCTGAGCTGCTGCTGCTGGGGCGCTATGCGGTGGAGCGGCTGCGCGCCGCCCCGGTGCCTCCTCTCTGCTGGCGGAGCTGGGCCCTGTTGGCGCTTTGGCCTCTGCTCAGCCTGATGGGCGTCCTGGTGCAGTGGCGGGTGACGGCCGAGGGGGACTCCCACACGGAAGGTGAGAGGGCAGGGACCAGGGTGGTCATAAGAGAAGTGGGGGGTGGGTGGGCGGGTGAGCAATTGGGGAGTGGGGGGAGAAGCTGTGCCCACCAGCAGTGGAAGGCCTCAATAGGGTTAGAGAGGTGACTCGATCGTGGTCTGGGAAGGAAGATAGGATCTCAGTGGTACTATTCATTCCACAACAACATACAGAGCAGCAGCTCTGAGCTAAGCCCACTCCAGAACTGGAGATACAACAGAGACAAAAATAGAAGAGGTCCCTCCCTAACAGACATGCAAACAAACAAGATAGTTCCAGTTGTGCAGAGTGATATGAAAGATATGCAGGGTAATATGAGTGACCTTCAGAGGCTATTATAGACAGGGTGCTCAAGGAAGGCCACTTGGAAGAGGTGACGCTTAAGTGGAGCTCTGCAGAATAAGGGGCCAGCCAGGCAAAGAGCTAGAGAAAAGGGAATAGCAAGAGTGGGGCCTGAGAAGGGGTGGGCTTGGCTTGCTGAAGAAATGGGGCTGGACTGTGGAGACTGAGGGATGCTGATTATGTGGGCCCTCTGGGCCATCATGAGGACTCTGGATTTTATTTATTTTATTTTATGTTTTATATTTTTATTGATTTCAGAGATGAAGGGAGAGGGAGAGAGAGATAGAAACATCAATGGTGAGAGAGAATCATTGATTGGCTGCCTCCTGCATGCCCCACACTGGGGATTGAGCCCACAACCCGGGCATGTGCCCTGACTGGGAATCGAACCGTGACCTCCTGGTTCATAGGTGGACGCTCAACCACTGAGCCACGCCAGCCAGGCTGGATTTTATTAGGAGGGCAATGAGATGCTGCTGGAGGCTTAAAGCAGGGAGGACATGATCTAATTTAGCATTTGGGATTTCATTCTGGCTGCTGAGTGAGAAAACAGTGGGGAAGGCAAGTGTAGAAGGGAAACCAGTGAGGAGGCAGCTGAGGTTGTCCAGTAGAGGGATGATGATGGCTGGTCTTGGTGAGTCACCTAGACCTCAGGGTTGGGAGAGGGATGACAGCTGGAGAGGGGGTACCTAGAAGTCTAGGAATCTTCCATAAAGACCTTCAGAGATAAAGAGCAATGGAATTCCCATCTGGGAGGTGGGAGACCAGGAAAGGAAAGGGAGGGGTTACAGATAAGGGGAATCTGGAAGCCCTGGGCCACCAGGTAGGAAGGGTGGAGATGACACATGTGGACCCCTGAGACTCTTCTCTGCCCATCCCTTCACAGTGGTCATCAGCCGGCAGCGACGACGTGTGCAGCTGATGAGGATAAGGCAGCAGGAAGAGCGCAAGGAGAAGCGTCGTAAGAAGAGACCCCCAAGGGCTCCCTCCAGAGGTTCCCGGGCTCCTCCAAGGCCTGGGCCCCCTGACCCTGCTTATCGGCGCAGGCCAGTGCCCATCAAACGCTTCAATGGAGATGTCCTCTCCCCGGTGAGTACTCCGCGCCCCTCCAATCCGAATGGGGTCACGGGAGTGTGTAAGCTCCGTCCAAGCAGGACTGGGCTTTCCCCAGGGGCTGGGCACTGTCCAGAACAGCCGTGGGCAAACTACGGCCCGCAGGCCGGATCCGGCCTGTTTGAAATGAATAAAACTATTGAAAAAAAAGACCGTACCCTTTTATGTAATGATGTTTACTTTGAATTTATATTAGTTCACACAAACACTCCATCCATGCTTTTGTTCCGGCCCTCCGGTCCAGTTTAAGAACCCATTGTGGCCCTCGAGTCAAAAAGTTTGCCCACCCCTGGTCTAGAAGGCCTAGTGTTTGTCCACCCATCATAACCCCTGCACCAGGAGCCTGATGGGCCCAGCGCTGGGATGGGGGAAAAGTGCCTGAGTAAGAATTTTAACTAAGTATGGTATGGGGTAGAGTCTCAGGGCTAGACTATGAATGTGATGAGGTCCTGGGACTGCAGCCATCTGGGGTGAGTCTCAGGCTTGTGGGGGTGCAGGGAGAGGATGTCTGCCTGAGGTGGCTCTCAGGGCAGGGGTCTGTGGCTGCACTCACACCTGTGTTTATTCTCCCACAGAGCTATATCCAGAGCTTCCGGGACCGGCAGACAGGAAGCTCACTGAGCTCCTTCATGGCCTCACCCACAGACATGGACTATGAATACGGGTCCCGGGGACCACTGACAGCCTGCACAGGGCCCCCTGTGCGGGTATAGCAGTCTAGCTGCTCCTGCCCACCTGGACTCTGTGGTCACCAGCTCTGTTAGCTTGCGGAGGCCTCTGGTCCACCACCCAGCCCACCTCGCCCTGTAGCCTATGGCTGTTTCTCTACCCTGGAGAGGACTGGCCCGGCTGCTAGAAGGAAGGACCTGTCTCGGGCTATGCCTGGTCTGAGGGAAAGCCCTCTCCCAAGGGCCTCCTGAGGGACAGGGGGTGTGAGACCCTTTGGGGTGTGCTCAGGGTTGTGAGTGTGTCACCTGTGTGTGCGTGTGCATGAAGGGGTGGGGTTGAAGGGAACACTGGGACCCTTGCCTTAGATTTCTGATTGGTAGGGCTTCTGCAAGGGTTGCCCACCTCCTCTTCCACTGCTGGGGTCCCATGGGCCACTCTCCTGCATGTCCAAGTGGGGGAGGTCTGCCTTCTCCCTCCACTGCTCTGCCTCCCAGCCAGATCCATCCAAGGCTTCTTGTCCTTCTCCACTGCAGCACCCCTCACCCTGGTCCCTGTCCTCTGCAAAGCCACCAGCCCGAGGGCAGTGACAGAGGATGGGGGTGGGGGCTGCTGCTCTGGGCTGGGTTGGGGAGGGGGCCTGGGGCTAAGGGGGCTTAAATGCACGATGCATGTCTGGTGTCTGTCATTGCCACCCTGGACACCTCATGCTTCTGTCTCCCTTCGCCCCACCCTGTTTTACATCTTTTATAAATGTGCCAAACTGTGGCTTCTGCCAAGAGTAGTGATCTTCGGTGGCTGGCACGTCCATGGGCCAACTCAGAAGCACTGTAGTTCTTGGTCCCCTGTGTCACTCACTACACAGGGTCCTCCAGGCCAGTTCTGCCCTCCTTCATCATACAGAGAGCCAAGGAAAAGGGCTACACCACTTTTATTGTTTTTCAACACCTCTAGTTCCCTGCCTCCCATCCCTGCCCAGGGTAAGGGCATGCGCCTTCCAAGCTGTCCGAGGGCACCCGCCTGGCCTGGTTCGGTCCTTCTAGCTACCTGCAGAGGAATAACTCCGCGTGGGGCTGGGGAGAAAGTGGGTACCACCATCCTCCCTGGCGGAACCTGGGCACCCACACAGGAAGAGTGGCCCTCACCCTCTGCCCCACCTTTTCTTGGGCCTCTGTCACGGCTGTCTGTGCTGCAGGAAAGTGGGGGGGGGGGTGGTGGATAGGGGTGGGGCAAGGCGTCTGTAGGGAATGCAGGAATTGGGGTGGAGAGTGGGGCATCTCTTATGTGGGAGAGGAAAGAAATGGGACTAGCTCAGGAGCCCTCTGCCCAGGCTGATGTTGAACTCACTGAGATGGGCAGAAGCCAGCAGAGAGCAGGAGGGGGTGAGGGTCCTGTGGGGGCCACAAACCAGGAGCCGGGAGTTGGGAGGATAAGAACTTGGCTACAAATGGGGTACTCAGGTGAGACAAACATGGTGCAGTGGCAGGAGGAAGTGAGGAGGGTACTGGACAGGAAGGGGTGTAGAAAGGTGGGAATCGCTGTCCTGAACCCAGTGGTTCCCATGGAGAACACAGCTCCTTCCTCTCCTCAGCCTAACAGATCCCAGCCCCCCCACCCCCACCCCACTTCCTACCTTCAATACATCCCAGGACCAACTGGCCACCCCACGCCCTGAAATACCTGCGGGAGGTGTGTCTCAGCCCACCAGCTCCCAGGTGACCACTTCTGCCTGGCCAGGCCTCCTGCCCAAGTCAGCTTCACTCACCCTCTACCAGCAGCCGCGTGTGGGCGCTGTCTTGGCCGGCCTGGCAGCAGTAGCTGCCCTGGTCCTCAGGTCGCACGTCACGGATGACCAGGCTGTGGGTGGGGCCATGGCTGCGCAGCTCGTACTTGTCTCCCGGGCACAGCGCGACCCCCTCCCGCAACCAGCACACGTGTCCCCCGGAGCGCGACACAGTCACCTCCAGGACCGCCCGGCGGCCCACCAGAACCGTCTTCTCGCGAGGCGGGCGGCGGCACATCTGGAGAGGCAGTGCTGGGGGTGCAGGACGAGGGCTTAAGTTAATAGGGACACGCAGGACCCCCAGGAAGAGAAACGCGTCTTCCCTCCCCCCACGGCCTCCGCTCCGGGTCTCAGACCTCAATGCCACGGGCCCATTCCGCTGTACCCTCAACTCAAAGTCTCCTCCTCCCCCGGAGACGGCGCACTGCCCTCTGTGACCCGCCCAGGGAGAGCCCCCCGAGAAAGGGAGGTGGGGGAGGCAGCGTTCCTAGGACAAGCCGCCAGCCTGCCAGGCCCAGGGAAGGTGATGCCCACTCCAGGCGGCCCCCGCGGCAGCGGCTTACCCTCCACTTCCAGCTCAGCTGCGGACTGGGCGGGTCCCGCCTGGAAGCGGACCTCACCGGCGTCCTCCGCGCGCAGCTCACTTAGCACCAGAATATGTTTCTTTCCTGAGGATGAAGGGGGCGCTAGCGAGCGGAGCCACCTCTGGGAAGGGATCGGAGATGAGGGTGGTGGGGCAGGAGTAGGTCGCCGGGTCGATTCGGACGCGACAAACGTGCGCTAGGATGGGCGGAACTGGGATGCGGAGGGGGAGGAGGAGCCGGCCAGGACCGAGGGCTGAGACCCGGGGGCTCGCGGAGAGACAGGCTGACGGCTTAGGGACGTGGGGCGGGGCCCGTTCGAGATGGAGGCGGGGCTAATCCTAGTGGGCGGGGTCTATGCGGGGCAGCGAGGAGCTAGGGTAGCAAGGCGGCCAGACCTTCCTGGCGGATGCGGATGCGGCCTCCGGGTCTCAGTGGGCGGCCTCCGAGCTTCCAGCTGCCGGTGGTCTCGGCCTCTGACACGGTGCACTCGAACGTGGCGCCGTCGCCTTCGCGGGCGCTCACCGGCCGCAGTTCGGACAGCACGGCCACCACGCGCTCTGGGGCGGAGCCGGGGGCGTGAGGCGGGGCGGGGCGGAGGGTGGTACCCACCCACTCCCGCCCCGCCCCTCGTCGGGCAGCACCGAGTCAGTCCCAGGGAAAGGGCGGTCTGCAGACCCCGAGCCCACATCAGTGCCCGGTCCCAGCAGCACCCCGTACCCACCGCGCACGGTCAGGCGGACGGGGCCCGCGCGGGCCGTTCCCGCCGCGCAGCTGTAGGTCCCAGCATCCAAGGAGCCACAGCGCCGCAGCTGGAGAAGGCGCCGCGCGCCGAGGGCCTGGAGCCTGAGCCGGGGGCTGGGGATGAGCGGGCGCCCGTCCTAGGGATGGGGGTGGCAGAGGGTCCGGATGAACTCAGCTGGGCACCGGCGACCGCGGCCCTGGGGGGCGGTGGCGCCCTCAGTTGATGCCAAGCAGTTTGGAGGCGTGTTTATGTTAGTCTGCGTCCCTCAGTCTGGGGTGGAGCCGTCCTGCGCTTGCGAGCCGCGCTAGGAGCCTCATTGGGAAGGTGTCACCCTTTAGGGGACATTAAGGTTGAGAAGGGGCTCCACAGGCGCGGGAAGCCCGGGGTCATGTACCAACCACATTGGCCATGATCATGGATTCTGGAATTAGACAAACCTGGATTCAAATATGGGCTCGGCCCCTTTTGTCTTCCCCTGGGCAATACTTCACCCCACAGAGACCCGGTCTCCTTGGAGATAACATGGAGATAACAAGACCTACCTGAAAGAGTTGTAAAGATTAAAGGATTAAGTGTACAGCACATCTGAGCACAGTGGCAGGCACATCCACTCAGTATTAGTTTGGGGCATTATTACTATTGTGGTGCCAGGGTAGGCTGGGCTGGGGCTGGGCTCTGACCTTCTCCCAGGTAACATCAGCCAAGGCCTGGGAAAGCTCGCACTCGAATGTAGCTGTGTCGCCCTCGGTCACCTCTAGGTCCTGTGGCACCTGCACAAAGGTCACTGGGGCCTCTGGGATGGGAAGAGGAGGACAGTGCAGAGGGAACAGGGGTGAGGGCCGGCTGAGGGCCTGGCTCCCAGGGACATGGAGAACACACAGGGCACAAGGGGTTAGTGGTGAACACATTTAGGCAAGGTGAGCAGTGGAGGTCACCAGTGGGGATGTGTTAGGACAAGTGGACGATGCTGGTCGGTGGAGGACACAGTGGAGTTACAGGGGTTAATGGGGCAGGAGTAGCCAGCTGGTGGTCACACTTTAAGGTGGTCAGTGTGGGCCATGCTGGTGCTAGAGGGACTGGGGGGAACTAGAGCAGAGATGCCAGTGGAGTCACCCACAGACAGGCAAGGTCTGTGATGAACAGGAGACACTGACAATGAGGGGTACAATGCAATCAGAGTAGCAATGGGGGGATACACTGTGCTAGAAGCAAACATGGGGGACACAGACAGAGGGCCATTGGGATTTGAGTGGTCAGAAGGGCACACTCAGGTAGGCAGACAGGGGCACAGCAGGCAGGTGTGGTCAGAGGGGTCACACTCAGTGTGGTGAGTGGGGCCATGGTCAGGCACAGGCAGACAATAGGGACCAGATTGGCACAGCCTGCTCACAGTGGCTCACAGTAGCCCAGTCCGTGGTTTGCAGGGACTGGAGGGCCAGTGGAGCCACACTCAGGCAGGGCAGTCGCTGGGGCCACACAGGGCCAAAGGGTCGGGGGAGCCACACTCTGGCAGAGAGGTCAGTGAGGGGCACACTGGGCCATGGTCAGTGGGGGCCACACAGGTAGTGGGATCAGTAGGGTCACACCCAGGCTGGTCAGCAGGCAGCAGTGTCCCGGAGGCCGCACCTCTCACAGTGAGTCTGGCTGCACAGCGCAGGGAGTCCGCCGTGAAGGAGATGCAGCCTGAGTCTGCCAGGCCCAAGCCACTGAGTGCCAGGTGGTAGGTGCGGCCCTCTGTGTGAATGCAGCACTGGGGTCCTGGACGCAGCCGGACTCCACCCCGGGCCCATTCCCCCATCACACCCTCCTGGGACAGCTCCAGCTGGAAGGTGGCGCTGCCCCCCTCGATGATGGTCACATCCTCCAGAGGCCGAAACACCCTTAGCTGCCTTGCTGGTGGGGGGAGATGGGGAGAGAAGGAGGATGAGGGCTCCAGCTCTGGGCATGGGTTTTGGGGGTCTCACACACCCTTTGGTCCTACCTGCACCACCCCTAACACCTAACCTATGAAGGGCCTATCAAATGAAGCTCAGAACCGGGATGCAGGAAGAAGGGAGCACAGCTCACCAGACTTAGGGGGAGAGCGGAGCTTACTGGGGTTAGGAGAAGGGGGTGAGGTGTGGTTAGAAGGCTGAGGAGTTTGGGTGAAGGGTGCTGTGACCCTCACTCAGAAGAAGAACAGAATTCTGAGTTGGACCCTAGCTCTGCCGTGTAGTTGTGTACTGTGTGACCTTTGACAAACTGCTTGACCTCTCTGGGCCTTAGTTTCTCCAATTATACAAGGGAAATAGCATTGAGATATGGGTTTAATGTGATTAAATGAATGAAATAAATTAGAAAAGAATATGTATCACCAACAAGAACCATTTTGTGGGCATTTTTCATGTTATCTCATTGAATATTCCCAAAGACTCTTGAAGTAGGAATCAGCCTCATTTTTAAGACTTGGCTCAGAGTGACTAAGTACTTTGCATGAAGTCACACAATTCATAGAGGGCTCCAGCTTGGGGGATGGG